AACCCAAACCTGGGGGGAGGGGAGGAAGTAATACTACATACCTATGGGGAGGGGGACTGTGTCTTAACCCATACCTGGGAGGAGAGGAGGAAGTAATAATACATACCTATGGGGAGAGGAGTAAGTAATAATACATACCTATGGGGAGGGGACTGTGTCTTAACCTATACCGGGGGGAGAGGAGGAAGTAATAATACATCCCTAGGGGGAGGGGGACTGTGTCATAACCCATACCTGGGGGGAAGGGAGGAAGTAATAATACATACCTATGGGGAGGGGAGGAAGTAATAATACATACCTATGGGGAGAGGAGGAAGTAATAATACATACCTATGGGGAGGGGGACTGTGTCATAATCCATACCTGGGGGGAAGGGAGGAAGTAATAATACATACCTATGGGGAGGGGTCCGTGTCTTAACCTATATCTGGGGGGAGGGGAGGAAGTAATAATACATACCTATGGGGAGGGGTCGGTGTCTTAACCTATATCTGGGGGGGGGGGAGGAAGTAATAATACATCCCTAGGGGGGGGGGTCCGTGTCTTAACCTATAATACATACCTATGGGGAGGGGGACTGTGTCTTAATCCATACCTGGAGGGAGGGGAGGAAGTAATAATACATACCTCACGGGAGGGGGACTGAGTCTTAACCCATACCTGGGGGGAGAGGAGGAAGTAATAATACATACCTCGGGGGAGGGGGACTGTGTCATAATCCATACCTGGGGGGAGAGGAGGAAGTAAGAATACATACCTATGGGGAGGGGGACTGTGTCTTAACCTATACCTGGGGGGAGGGGAGGAAGTAATAATACATTCCTATGGGGAGGGGGACTGTGTCTTAATCAATACCTGGGGGGAGGGGAGGAAGTAATACTACATACCTATGGGGAGGGGGACTGTGTCTTAATCAATACCTGGGGGGAGGGGAGGAAGTAATAATACATTCCTCACGGGAGGGGGACTGAGTCTTAACCCATCCCGGGGGGGAGAGGAGGAAGTAATAATACATGCCTCGGGGAAGGGGGACTGTGTCATAATCCATACCTTGGGGGAGAGGAGGAAGTAATAATACATACCTCGGGGGAGGGGGACTGTGTCATAATCCATTCCTTGGAGGAGAGGAGGAAGTAATAATACATACCTGGGGGGAGGGGAGGAAGTAATACTACATCCCTATGGGGAGGGGGACTGTGTCTTAATCAATACCTGGGGGGAGGGGAGGAAGTAATACTACATACCTATGGGGAGGGGGACTGTGTCATAACCCATACCTGGGGGGAGGGGAGGAAGTAAATAATACATACCTCTGGGGAAGGTGTTTATAAGTAACTCAGGGAGGGGGACTGTGTTAATCCATTTCTGGGGGAGGGGAGGGGGGGAGTTATAATACATACCTGGATGAGGGGAATCTGTCATTACTTTGGGGGATGATAGGAAGTGAGCAGGCCTAACTCAAGGGGGCACTTGGTTATTGCCATACATAAGACTACAGAAGAAATATTGTGTCATCACAATACATACATGTAACGGAGGGTAGGTGGTGCTGTCATAACCTATATCACGGGAGAAAGGGGACGGGTGGGGCGGCAATAATAAGACATACATTAGGAGGGATATTCTGTATTAACCAATACCTGAAGGGGAGGAGAAGGTATTAAAAATCCTGAGAGGATGGAGAGGGTGAACTGTCATACCCCATACCTGAGGGGGAGGGGAAAATGCACTCCGGTAACCCATACTTTGTTGTTGTGGGGGGTGGGGGGGGAGGGGGCAGTAGTATGTCGTTACCCATACCTTGGTATCAAGATAAGATACAGAAATCATGATATTACATTTTCATAACATAGAAGTGTTACAGCTAACTTTATAGTTTTGACGGCCCTTCACAGGGTTAATATATTTTTTCTCATTCTAATCTGCCTGTGCTGGCTGTTAATATTCGGAAGCAGATACCATCTCGGGACGAGCTCATTATCTGCGCTGGAAATCATAAGATGAACTCTAAAAGAGACTTGAGTTCCTACAATACTGGTACTGCACTTTTAAACAGGAAACGGCACATCTTGCTTAATCAGATGTGTTAGAGGGAAGATAGTGGGGTCTGGCGATCTGCCCACACCTGTGTTCTTTCCCCCGCTCCCTCCCCCCTCCCTACCGTCTACCTGTCAGCCTCCAACCATTTACAAGTGTAATAGGGGTCTAATTGTCTACTGGATCGTCTGAGGGTCGGAACATTACAGTGAAACCTGTCTAATCTGACCATTTGGTTCTCCCGTATCCTGTCTAATCCGACATAATGCTGTAATTCAATTTCTTTATTAAAGTTACCATGGAAGACCTTTGTATACCGACATCCTGTCTGATCTGACAGATATGTTGTGTCCAACAGTATTGGATTCAATAGATTTTACCTTATTGTCTTACCCTTCTGCTCAACATTTATGAAAGCGCCGGAACTACTTTAGTTTATTTCCCCTGGTAAGTTTCGGGCATATTTTTAGCTCACCTGGCACGAAGTGCCAAGTGAGCTTATGCCATGGCGCGGCGTCCGTCGTCCGGTGTCAATATTTTACTTTAAACGACTTCTTCTTAATAACCGAAAGGCCTAGGGTGTCGATATTTGGCCAGAAGCAAACTGGAATGAAGGGCTACAAAGTTTGTTAAAATTAATGACCTTCGCCCATTTTCAAGGTCACAGGGGTCAAATATGTTAAAAACTTTAAACAACTTCTTCTCAATAACCAAACTGCCCAGGGTGGTGATATTTGGCCAGTAGCATGCTTCGGTGAAGGGCTACAAAGTTTGTTCAAATGAATGACCTTCACCCATATTCAAGGTCACAGGGGTCAATTGTGTTAAAAACTTTAAACAACTTCTTCTCAATAACCAAAATGCCCAGGGTGGTGATATTTGGCCAGTAGCATGCTGAGATGAAGGGCTACAAAGTTTGTTCAAATGAATGACCTTCACCCATATTCAAGGTCACGGGTCAAATATGTTAAAAACTTAAACAACTTCTTGTCAACAATAACCAAAATGC